TTTTTTTTTTTTTTTTTTATTTGTTCCCCAACTTCCTCTGTCCTTGGGTTTAGCTGGCACAAATGGCACTAGGTGGGTCTTTGCTCTCTATCTGCCCAGGCCAGGGTGATTTAAGCTGTGTATTCTCTGGTTAGGGAGGAGGGTATGAACCATTTGCTCTCAAGCGTCCTTGGTGGTGGAAGATAAGTTCTTGTGATTCACAAGCCGGCTGCAAGCTGCCCAAAGTGTTTGGCCTTATTTAATTTTCTTGACTCAGTTTCCCCATTTCACTTGCCTATGTATTTTCCTGGTTTCTTACTGTCCTGCTACAAGGTGGCAGAAACACTACAGTACAGGCAGCCATTCAGCAGAGGCAGGTAGTTCTGTGCAGGCTTCTCCTTGAGGTGCATTTTGTGGGAGAAGCTCCTGTGGAGAAATGGCTGCTAAGCTCTGGGTTTTGTTTGATTTTGAGCCCAGCAGCCACCAGGAGACCCTCTTCCCTTCTTAGAAGGCGCCTTTCTCAGGGCTCGCAGTGCTCACCACTTAGACTTTGATAAAAATTTTGACTTATGAGTTTCCTATTATCTCTTCAGATTGTTAATATTTCAAGTTTTGTTGTTTTTTAAATTTAGTATGTTTCTTTATTCTTAGCAGGATGGTAGATTGAAGTAACTCAGTTTTCTATTACTAAAACCTATGTGTTTGCCTAAAATTTTATATGATATTTCAGTTTGGACTTTAATTTACCTCATATTTTATAGTCATACTTTTTGGGCAACTCGTTACTAATTTCTAGGAATGGTTAGTTACATGGTGGTTTACAGAGAATTTCTAGAAGCACTTCTACTCTGTAACCTGAGGTGCACTTACAAAGAGACAAAGTGCTATAATTAGCTATACTTGAGTCCTTTCCACATGACACAAATCCATGCGACACACGTGCCGCTTCTTGTGATCTCCCATAGTATTTAGTCTTCTCACTCATTGCACTTGGGCAGTTTAATAAACATAAAACCCTTGCAATTTATTGTACATTTCTACCATGAGACTGTGAGCCTTAAGAGGGAAGAAAATAAACTTTTATATCAAATTCATTTCCTGGCTCAGTGTCTGGTAGCGTAGGTACTCAAAAGCGTAGGTACTCAACAACAACCATAAAAATGCATAATTGAACAACAAGGGAGAGGATATCTAAATATAAGTGTGACAAACTAGTTACAGTTTGTAACTGTATTTGTACAAGTCTTAAGAGGAGAAGGACATTTTTCATATTTTCTCTAAAAGCCTGAATGAAATAAAGTTCAGGTACTCTTAGGACCCTGCTTCAACTTTTCTATAAACGAACAGGCTCCTGAGGAACCCTGCAATTGTGCAGGGCTGGGGAATGATTTTTTACATCTAATTTTCAGAAAAATTTTATAAACTTATTCTAAAAAAGTTATTCTTTGTTTAAAAACGACTGTATTACTACTTATTGTTTAAACAAATAATACAGGCCCATGGTACAGAATTTTCAAAGCTCATAAGGGGGAGTATGAAGAAAATAAGTCTCTTTGACTCTTTTGTTCTTTAGACACCAATCTCCTCATGGCTTTCAGGAGCTAGTCTACACATTTACTTAAAAGTTAGCTACCCTCTGCTACTCACCTTGCTCTTTTTACTCAACAATATATCTGGGAGATATTACTTAACATTACATATAGAGTGATTCCATGTTTTATAAAATTGAAGACATCCCATTGTATGACTGAATCATGGCTTGTTTGATTAGTCTTCTATTAACGGGAACTTACTTTTTTCCCCCAACATTTTGATATTACAGCAATGCTGCAAATGAACATTCTTGTGTTTTCATCATCTCCCACATGCATGAGAATATCTATGGGCTAAGCACCTGAGAAGTTGAGTTGCTGGGTTACAGGGTTATATTTTGATAGAAATTGCCTATATTGTTCAATATAGTTTGTAAAACTTACACTCCCACCAAGTAAGTGTGACAGAACCCATGTCACCATCCACAACCATAGTGCTATCAAACTGCTCGATCTTTGTTATTCTAATGGGTGAAAAATGAGATACCATTATAGACTTATTCTGCCTTTATCTTTATAAATGAATTAAGGCTCCTTCCATATGCTTAAGAATCATTTCTCTGTGTTATTTGTGTATATCCTTTTGCTTATTTCCCTATTGGGATGTTGTTTTGTTCTTACAGTTTACAGAGTTTCTGTCTATTAAGGAAACAAACATTATTTAACTGGCAAATAATTGAAAAATCCTGAATTATTGATGGGTAAATAATTGAGAAGTCCTAAAGATAGGAATATAAGATTAGTTAGTAAAGAAAAAGCAACTTGGGCTAGTAAAAAGGGTGGTGGGTAGGAAATTTTTTTTTTTTTACCATTAGAATTATTAGCCTCAGCAAATCACACCTGATTCCCAATTCATATTCTTCATCTGCAGAGTCAGGTAGCTGAATTAGTAAAGATGCTCTAATAACAGGATGATGTTTTCTTCAAGGCCTAGGAAGCAGTTCAAGGAGAACTAGCTTAAGTTACTAATGCAAATCCTGAGTAAACATTTTACTGATCTGCAATTGCTGAGCACCTCCCATTAAAAAAAAAAGGACTAAATCTGTTTTCTGTGGTCCTGTTTTAACCTTTCATTTACCGTAAGAAGCCTCCCACCCCCATCTCCCAGCCTTGCTTGCAAGGTGGAATCCTAGGAATGAAAAGAAAAACAGGTCTACGTCCCAAACTTGTGTTCATACCAACCCCTATATGCATTTGTCGCTGATTTGTGGCTCTTACGTGGTTATATTTATTCTGAAAGTGAGGAAATAAGTGAGAATGTATGGCATTTTGACATAATGGAAAATAATTTTTTGTTATGGTCATGACTAAGCAGATTGTATTAAACTGTTCTATAAAAAGTAACCATAAAATCTGGACAAAATACATAAAACAACCATTTGAAGGCACTGGAGAGCAGTCAACACAGGCAAGGCTTCAGGGGCTACAGTTCCAAGAAGGGAGGGGCAGGAGACGAGTTCCACGTTTCCCTTGGGTGGCCTTCCTTGAGGACATGCCAGTTCACTGGGTGGGGGGAGCATGCGATCTGGAGACAGGTGGGAAAGAATGGGAAGAAGGAAAAATAAAGTCTCAGCAGGAAATAGTAGTTTCGCTGAACTGAGGAGATAAAGGATTTGGGGTTTGCGCTGCCGGACTAGCAGAGTTTGAGAGACAAACCCTGGAGAGTGAAGGACCACAGAAAAGTGAGGCTCAAAATATGATGCAAGCTCTTTTCAAAGCATTTTTGGATTTCTACATCATTCTTGTGCAAAATGAGATTTCAAGAAATCTAGCAGGAGGCAGAATTGGGGGTCTGAAGAGTTGAGCAGAGTTTTCAGGAGTCATGGGCCTCAAGGAGCACAAAAATAGGAAGTGAGGGGCTGCTAAGGTGGAGGGATCCTAAAAACAGTCTACCCTTGTAGTTGGATCTCAGAAAAGCTATGTTCTTGGAGTAAGGATTATGTCCCAGAAGTAAGAAAAAAAGTGCATAGACCATTTTTATAACACCTGAAAATAGTACTTAAATGAGATCAAAGTCACCTGCCTCTACTGTATCTACAGCTAGAAGAAAACTTAACTTTTGTTGAGTTACTACACCCATTATCTTCACCATTTTTAAAATATAATGTCCAGTGTTCAATTAAAAAAAATTGAGGATGCTAAGAAACAAGACAAATGATCAAAAACCAAGAGAAGAAATAAGCAACACACACATGTTCATAGGTGATTGAGATTTTGGTCAATACTAAAACGAACAATTATCTGAATAAAACAATGTTTTTTAACCTGAAAATAAGCTAACAGCCCCTTTTAAAAATGTTTGCAAATAAATCTAATACAAATTTGAGCTCTAATTGCCCAAGAGCCTTGTTAACACTTTTTATATTCTCAGAAGTTTCTGCAGGGCCTTTTTCATATCTTTGTTCCTAAGACTATATATCACAGGGTTAAGAAGCGGGGTCACGACAGAATAAAACAGAGTCACAGTCTTCTGCATCCCAGCTTCATGCTCCAGTGTAGGGCTCCCGTACATGACCAGCACTGAACCATAGAACAGTGAAACCACAGCCAGGTGAGACCCACAGGTGGAGAAAGCCTTTCTTCTCCCAGCTGCTGAAGGGACTTTCAGGACAGCTCTTAGGACCAGAGCATAGGACCCCATGATGAAGAGAAAGGGGATGATGAGGGGCAGAGGACTTAAAATGGAGAAGACACGCTCCACCACAGGAGCTTTTTTGCAAGTGAGTGCTAGAAGAGGAGCTGGGTCACACAGGAAGTGGTCGATAACTCTGGTGCCACAAAAGGACATTTGGGAGATGATGATGATGGGAATCAAGAACCAGAAGAAANCACAAAAGGACATTCGGGAGATGACGATGATGGGAATCAAGAACCAGAGGAAGCCAAATGCCCAGCAGCTGACCACAAGATTGGTGCAGAGACGTCCAGTCATAATGGTTGGATAGTGTAGAGGCCGGCAGATGGCAAGGTAGCGATCAAATGCCATAGTCGCCAAGAAAAAGCATTCCGTAGAGCCCAAGGAGAAGAAAAAGTAGAACTGGAGAAAGCACCCAGAGAAGGAGATGACCTTGGTGTCAGAGAGGAAGTTAGCCAACATGTTGGGGACAGTGGAGGTGACATAGCAGATCTCCAGGAAGGAGAAGTTGGCCAGCAGGACGTACATGGGGGTGTGGAGTCTCTGATCCCAGCGCACAGCACAGATGATAGAGCCATTGCCCAGGAGGGTCAGGAGGTAGACAACGGAGAAGAGCGCGAAGAGGAGGCCCCGCCCCTCCCTGGGGCAAGGGAAGCCCAGGAGAACGAAGCCAGTGCCGATGCTGGAGTCGTTGGAGATTTTCATGGGTCTGTGAGCTGTGAAAAGAACATCAAATCATTGAATGCCTGTGTGTAGACAAGTGGGGACCCAAATTTATATTTAAACTATCTTGGGAAAGAAAATAAAGACACATATCAATAGCGACTTTTTTTCTTTAAGACTGAATATTTATCTGGGTTGCTTTTTTCTTCTCATTCATATTTTCACTATGGACTCAAGAAAATTTTTCGTCAGAATTTATAAGCTCTTGAAGAAGAGTGATGTAGAGATGTTTAAAGATTACATTAGATGTTACACTTAGTAGAGTCTCTATCTATTATCTTTCTATCCTCACAAAATGCAATTTCTTTCATTATCAGAAGGGGTGACACCAATTGCAGTTGTGGCAGAAACTGAGTCAAATTGTGAAGCCACGTAACACGAACTGATAGAACTTTTTGAATTACTTCTTTTGTGTGACTTTTTAAAACTGGCCTTATTCAAACTAAATGATTAACTTGTTAATTTAATAATATTAGACACCAATTTCATGTGTAAAACAGAGAAATCAACTAGAGGAAATTTGCCTTAGTTTCTATGTGTTAAAACAGCAATTCTCGCAGAGAAGTGAAATAATAATAATTATTTTTTTAAAGTATATCTTTATTGATTTCAGAGTGAAGAAAGGAGAGGGAGAAGAAGAGATAGAAACATCAATGATGAGAGAGTCATTGATCGGCTGTCCAGCCCGCAACCCAGGCATGTGCCCTGACCGGAAATCGAACTCTGATCTCCTGGATTCTAGGTCAACACTCAACCGTTGAGCCACACCTGGCCAGGTGAAATAATTATTAATAGTGAAATAAGTCTGTACTTACCTGGAAAAGAGATGAATTTTCCCTTTCTACAGTTATAGATTAAGTTCAATTCCAATAATACCAACTGTGGATATTACTGGTAACATCGAATTCTAAACAGCAGTGGATTTGTAGGGGATGGAAGGCTAAAACTTTCCTCTGTCCCCCTGTAACTACTCAGGAGCATCAGAAGGCTGAGTGGCTTTTAAAGATTGAATATCTGCATAATGACTTTCTTTTGTTCTAAACAAGCTAGAATACTTTGGTGAACAATCATGCACTCAGGCGTTGGAATCAATTAGACTTGGGTTGTTTAGCTAATGTTCCTGAAATTTCATTTTAGGAGTAAGTATCTGCTCAACAATCTAATAATTGATCCCTTGGATTAAATATTTAAGAACTCTTGCCCTGCCAGGCTTGGCTCAGCAGTTGAGCGTCGACCTAGGATCCAGGCGATCAGGGTTTGATTCCCAGTCACGGCACATGCCCGGGTTGCGGGCTGCAGCCGATCAATGACTCTCTCATCACTGATGTTTCTATCTCTCTCTCTCCCTCTCCTTTCCTCTCTCTGAAATCAATAAAGATATATTTAAAAAAAAAAAAAAGAACTCTTTTTTTGGTTGAATTTATTTCAATGTACTATTTTCTCTCTTTTCTTTACCTTTGCATCTACTTTATCAGCAATTTCTGTTAGCCTGTCTCCATAATATCTCATGTCCACACACTTATCTCTAGTTCAAACCATCACCTTTTCTCCCCTGGACCACTGTGATGTTGTCCTAACCAGCTTCCAGTTTCCACTCTTGCCTCTCTATTCCTGTCATCCATGCCACAGCCAGTCACTCTTTGAAAAAGAAAATCAAATCAATCTGTTCCCTTGCATACAGATTTCAATTCGTTTTCCAACTGGGGTCTTTGATTTGACCCTTCTTAACATCTCCAACATCATCTCATGATTCGATTAATGGAACTCTCTCTCTCTCTCTCTCTCTCTCTCTCTCTCTCACACACACACACACACTCTGTTGTGCAAAGGCGCACACACACTCCACTAGCATAAGCACAGCAAATGTAAAGTAGGGTTCAACAAGCAGAGTGGTAGCAGGGTGTACCCCGTTCCCTGTCCTTTCCTGATCCCACTGGGAGATGTGTATATTTGGACAACACCCACACTAGCCAGCATTTCAGTGGAGAGGGACCCACTTCTGTAATTCTCTAAGAGGTCAGCAAGCTTTCTCTTAAATATTTTAGGCTTACAGACCATATAGTCTCTGCCACAACTACTTACCTCCACTGTTGGGTGAAAGCAGCCATAGGCAAATGAATGCACATGGCTGTGTTCCAATAAAACTTTATGTCCACTGAAATTTGAATTTCATATAACTTACATGTGTTGCAGAATGTCAAATTTATATTGCTTGTTAAATTTAAATTTACAATGTAAGACGTTTTAGTTCACTGGCTGTACAAAAACAGGGAGCTGGCCAGATTTGGTCCACTGGCCATGGTTTGCTGAGCCCTGCCCTACACATTTATAGGGACAGGAAAGCAAGGACCATCTATTCAACTGTGGAACAATGGAAGCTTCTTGTCTAGCAAGTGACCTTGTCAGAAAGGGAGGAGACCTCTAGAGGTCAGTAGCTGGAATCAGCCTGTTCTGCTGAGCTAACAAACCTTTGGGGCCAGATTTCCACTAAATTACAAAAATAATTTTCCATAGCCATCAGGATTTACCTCTTTCTCTCTGTCTTTACACACACACACACACACACACACACACACACACACACACACACACACTCATATACATCTTCCCTCCTCCACACAACACTTTAGTAATATAACATTGGTCTTTTTTCAGTTTTCAGAAGCACCCAAGTACTTTCCTGACTCAGGGTCTTTGCTCTTGTCCTTCATGTTCATTTTTTTAATCCCCAGTGCACAGCACAGTCTGAGGAAGATAGTAGGAAGTTTGCAAATATTTGTCAAAGAAATGATTGTCTACACTGTTACAAAGACAGGAGATATAGATAGATAATAGATACTTGCTAATTACTTCATTTGAACTTCAAAACATGTGACATAAAATTTTAGGAAATGAAATATATAAGAAAGGCTCCAAAGGATGTGAGGCTACCAGAGTGTTGGCCCAGGCTTGAGAGGAATCCCATTGAAAGGAAGTAATGGGAGATGAAATGTTCTGGGTGGCAGAATATGTCCCCACCCACCCAGATGTTACCTCTCTGACTGCTGAAGATAATTATGGTCTCACAGCTCTGGATGTTGAAGTAGGACAGAGAGCAGGGTGGAAATTCTAGATTCAGCATTGCAGCAAATTTGCTTAGTGGCTCTAGGGGGGTCTTTAAAGCTCTATAAGCTTTGTTTTCTTTCTATGAAAAGGGAATAGGATTGTATGGTTTTGTTTTTTTTTATCACTTTTCATAATGAAATGCTTACTCTTATTGTAAGTATACCACAAGTACACATGGCATCAAGACTTTGCAGATCTAAAGGTAACCTTTTAGTTACAGTTATGTCTCAGATGAAAACATCAGTTGGATAGTTTGTCACTTATACATGAAGCCAGCTCCCTCTCTGTAATTCTTCAACTTTGAGAGTCTGACAAAGCTGTTCTAGAAAACAAAACGTGTGTGAAAAATGATTCTCTATGTGCCATCACCATTTATGCTGGACATAACTAAATCAACAGTGGGTGGAAAAAAATTTCCAACAAGTATTGTTGCTCACCCAGCAGTGGTGTTTACTTGGTACAAGGGTGAGCCGGAGCTGTCCAAAGCCAGTTCTGAATAGGCCGCAGGAAGCACTGTGGCAGTTTCAGTACAGACACGACGGTGTAAAAGCCGTGTTTATGTACACACAGGACACCTGGGCTGAGTTACTTCACACAGGCAAAAAGAGCCAACCGCATCCTCACCCCCATTATATCTTGGAGACATTGGAGTAGGTCCAATCTAGGTTAGCCCTGTCCTGAGCTATAAAATATAAGACGAGAGAAAGGTATTTCTCTGATTTTTACTTTTTTCCAAGAAGACCCAGTGGTGTGGAAGTGTGATCGACCTGCTCCCACAGCAGCACATCTGCCTGCTTCATTTGGCTTGGACAGGAGGTTTTCACACCTGTCCCATTTCTGCAAAGCCGTGAAAATAAGAACAGTTTTCTCGTTTATGACAAGTGGCAGGCAGCTAAAGCATAGTAGAGAAACAAAGGATTTGGAATAAGGTTAGGGTTTGAGCCTAAGGTTTGAATTACAAGTCATACTTTGCAAATTTTGGAAACTTTTTCAGTCATATAAGCCTTCCCCCAGTTCCTTCAACTGTAAAATGGGCACAGTAACACTTTCACCACAGGACTGAGGACTCTGAATGAGATAACATATGTGGAAGTGCTTGTCTGGGGCCTGGCACACAGCAACGCTTAGGAATTGTCGGCCACGTGGTATGTAGCTGGAGCAAAGTGAAAAGGAGCCTTATTTGCAGGGTAGTGGCTTTTCTAGCTCTTCAATGTTTATTTTCTTACCTAAGCGTTACATCATCTCCTTTCATGGATGAGAGGGGAACCCAAACCTGAAGTTTCTCTGACGGTGTCAGGTCTTCCTGGGAGGAGAGGTGGTCTCTTCTACAATAACTGTAAATGAGTGAAGGAGTAGAGAGAGAAGGTGAAGATCTCTCAGAGTTTGCTGCAGGATGGAGGGATTATAAGCAGAGCCTCCAGGGAGTGAGCCCTACTCCATGAGGATCAACTTATCACTTCTAGAAGGACTGTGTCAGGAGACTGTTCTGTGTTAGCTCTTCCCTTTCCCTGGGCCTGACGTCTCTGGAGACCCTGATGACTACTGCTTTTGTTTTCCAGTAAGTAGAAAATATTACCCTTTTCCTGCCCCAAACTTCTCAGGGACAGCATGAGATCGAGTCAGTCTCTAAGCTGCCCCAGAATACCTACCAGGTGTCCAAGGGACTAACTCTAGGGAAACAAAACCAATTGTAAGGAAGCAAAATTTGTCACCCCAAAAGGTGTCTGTCTGGCATGAGAATGATTTTATTTTTAAGAAACAAAAGACTAAGGAAGAACCTTTGACCTTCCCCCAAATCACCTAAAGGAATTTAAGATAGGCCCTTTCCTGCCTTAATTCCCTTTGAAATCCCAGACTCTTATCTCTCCCCCTTAGTC